CGACTCGAACCCGGTTCACCCCACCCGAGGTTGCTGTATCCTTTCAACCCCATCCTTAGCAATCTGCTTCACCTGCAAACTCTCACACGCACCCTAAAATAATGAACACCCACACCTGCGTTTCATTATTGTTTCGTGCCTGCTACTTCAACAACTGCTTGGGGTGATGTCTTCTAGTAAGCTTTGTTGCCATCCCGGCCCCAGGCCGTGCCCTGCACAGCATGTATGCTAAATATATACTCTGAATGCCAAGTTCACGACGACTTCTGTAGTGAAAAAGTTACCCAGCAACCCCTCACGCCCAATGCTGGGTGTAATTCTACAGTGCTGCCACCAGGGGGCGCCACAGCATCACGTAACGCTGCAGCGTAAATCCGAGGTCTCCACCAGGGTCCTGCAGATTATGAGGCAAACTGCTGAATGAATAACAGCAAGAGTTACAACGAATAAATGACAGATGAAGGCACAAAAACAGACAGTCCAACGGGGCTGGACTCAGGCTGGCACGGGGCCTGACCCGGGGTTTCAGCTCTGTCCGCAGGCAGCCTGGGGCCGGGAAAGCTCTGCGCTGCACAGCGCATCAGTCAGCCCTTGACTGGGCGGTGCGGGAGCGGCACCCCCATTGTTCTTAAACGGTGTCCTGGGTCCCCAACATCAGAGGCCTATTGTGGGGCCTGACGGGGGAGGCGCCCTGAGCAGCGAGCCTGACTGTCCGTCCTGTCCCCCGCTCTGCTGCCCCTTGACCTCTCCCTGCTTCTCTCCTGCCGGTGCGCTTCTGCGCCTCCTCCCTGCGGGGTGCCTGGGCTCCCCGCCGCCCCTCGTCTCCTCTCTTGCACAGAGGTGTCCAGGTCCCTGGGCTCCTGAGCCCATCACATCCAACAACCAACAATCCCGGGTCTCCCTCCCCAGCACAGACGCTCTCCGCGGCTGGCAGCCTCAAGGCTCTCCAGCGCCTCAGACCCGAAGACAACTCCAGCAGAAGCTCAAGAAGCAGGGAGAGTGGCGACGCTGGCCTTAGGCTTTTGCCTCTTGAACTTATCAGAAAGTCAAGTTCGTTTTACACCTCCTGGAATGAGGGGGTTTGTCACACCGCCCCGGGATAGAAGGCGACACGAGTCCTCCAGGTGTCCCCGGGTGACCTCCGAGCCCAGGGCCACGCTGCTGTGCTAAGCTCCAGCAGCTCAGCCGGACCCCACCGCAGGCGCTCCCTACCCCGGGCCCGTGGGAACAAAGCCAGGGTGTCCAGGGCGTGCCCACTGCCTTTCCCTGGGGCCCCCAAGGCCTGGCCAGGCGCAGCGGGAGGCCCGAGCGGTGGCTGCAGGGGAGCGGAGCTGCCTCTGCGCACCGCACAGCCTCGCCCCTCACACCACAGGCCGCGGCAGACGCCTGGCACTGGCACAGGCGCCTGCCTACTTACTCAAGACATGGGAAATACCAGGAGTCCCCGTTACATTGTGTGTCTGGGGGCCTGAAAACTAGCACAGCTCAGAGAGCCGCTTCCCTGGGGGTCCTTGGCCCCGTTCGGAAACTGGGGTTTGAAAGAGAAATGCTTCTCTTTCCTAAAACCTTTGTAATTTTGACGAGTGCAGGCAGGTGTCACTCTTCTCCGAAAAGGCTGCCCTCAGAGACGCTGCTTCCTCTCCCCCTTGGGGGTACCTCAACTGCCGCACCTACGGGCGGGTCTCAAGCGTAGGGGGTGTGAAAAGCACAGCCCAGGCTGGGTGCTGTGGCCCCCAGCTGCCGGGCCAGCTGTTTCTCACCCACAAGCACTGCCCCATCCTTGCTGAGCCCTGGCACAGGCCAGGGCTCCGTGGGGCGTAGTTGTTGCTATGGAAACCACCTCCCGGAGGACTCTGCCGCAGAGGCTGACCGATGGGGTCAGATGGACCAGATGGACCCTCAGGTGTGAGCTGCCGCGGGGTTCCCAGGTACGGGTCTGTTAGCTTGGTCATTTTGGAAACTGCAGCACCTGCAAGGTAGCGTGAAGGTGCTCGCTTCTCTCTATCTCGCGCACAAACGCTGGCCTGGACATTGCGGGGCCCTCTGGGCAAGCTCGTCAGTGGCAGTGTGGGTTACGGACGCGCTGCGGTGGCCGCCATCTGCCGTGGCCGCCATCTGCCGTGGCCGCCATCTGCCGTGGCCGTCGGACCGCGATGGTTATTAATTAGCCACGTGCCCTCAATCATAGGAGGAACCCTCCTGGGGGGCCCTGACCCCCAAAGCCTGCTCAGCCAGCCTTCCCCCGCGCAGGCTGAGAAACCCTGCAGCTGAAGCTTCGTTCCTGTAGTTCTGCCCACTTTTCATCTTCAGAATCCAGGCTGATAATCCTGACAGGGAGGCAAGAAGCTAGCAGCAGACGGGGCGCCCTCGCGCGGAAATTTACTCAACGTCCAGGCGCTCTGCTTTGTGTTTACAGGACCAGTGCGTTGTGAGGCTCCCACAGTCCCAAGGCCAAAGCCCTGCCCCCACCACCCCGTCACCTGCTTCCCCCGATGTGTCACCTCAGGTGATATGCACCTGTTGAGTTCTCCAACGAGGACAAGATGAGCGACGGGTCAGTTCCCGGAGGAGAAGGGTGACCCCGGAGAATGGAGAGAGCAAATCCCAAAGGCTTCTCAGTGAAGTTTCTCGACTTCTGCCTTGGAACTTAATGCACCAAGATATGACCCAGCTGACTTACGTGAACTTTGGGGTGTGAAAAGATGGCTCTGAGCCAGAGATAGTGGATGGGAAGAAGGGAGGGGTGCTGGGGGGGACAAAGAGAGCGAGTTCTAGAACTGTGTGGGTGAGTAGGACCATATGGGAAATGTTGACGAAGATGCGAACTGCCCAAGTAAATTCCAGTTTTATCGTGGAATGCGGGCTCCCGGGAGCATGGCGGACCAGAGAGTGAGACTGCAGGAAAGGTTGGCAGTTTTTTACTGATTTGAAAATTTCTAGAGGGAAACTGGCTTGCTAATGTGTGATTTTTAGCTCTCAAACCACATAACTGGGACAGTTTTTGAGCTTTAAGTCCTTTGACCTCTGTATTCAAAAGTCACAAAGCTGAGGTTGTGTGGACTTTCTAGTGGCCAGACTCCCTGGAATGGGATATGATATTCACATCACATCCTTCATTCTAGAAAAAAATGATAAAACTCTCTTTGCTGTCAAGCTAGTGACTAAAGCAGAACTTTTAAATGTCCCATCCTAGTCCATGACAATACATACGTTTTCCCCATGGAGACAACAGTCAAAACCAAGGAGCTTCCTCCCTGAAACCCATACAGAGTGATTCAGAACCCTGCCCCCAGTGCCCTAAGGGAATAAGACAGCGCACAGCTCAGACGCCACTGTCCCATCTGTGCTGTGGACGGTCTTACTTCCTAGGGCCCTGAGTGGCTTCCCTGGCCCGGACCTCACCAGAGCCAGCAGCAACCCCTCTGTGCAGAGGTGACAGCCGAAAAGTGTCTCCCGACGTGGCCATGTGTCCCCACTGAAACACCTGTCAGCCTCATTTCAGCAGAGCCCACACTGGAGCTTCATCAGGGCCAGCACCCCTCCCGTCAGGGGGCCGGCCGTCCCGCCTCTCCCTTACACTGATCCACTCTTGACTGAGCCAACCACTGCATCTTTCCCCTGTCTTAAGCTCAAAAGTCCTTAAAATTGAAGTCCACTGATTTGTTTTCCTTTTCGTCTTTACAGTCTTGGGGGTTTATATTAACACCCTCACCCCAAGCTGGGCTTCCAGCAGCCCCCCATCACCTGTCCCTTGCACAGGAGAGGCTGAAGAGCTTCTGACAGTGCTCGTTTTTCATGTCCTCACTAGTCTCCTTGCAATGGTGTTGTGAAGTTGTATCACAAAAAGTGGCTGGAAAAAGCTGGAGATAAATTCTGGCCTCCATGTTTTAACGGCATGAAGAGGAAACAAAGGCAGAGGGGACTTGCCTAGGGCGTGCTTGGAAGGGGCTGCTCCTCGGAGCAGGTGGGGAGACCACGCAGCTCGCACACCTGTTGTGCGCCAGAAGGAGAGGTGGAGGGAATGGACGCCCCTGCCCTCTGGGCGGTGGTGTTTCTCTTCTCCCCACAGTGGATGCCGTAGGGTGTGTTTTGAGGGATACCTGGGCCCTTGCTGCAGCAGGCAAGTCACAAGCTAGTGTCATACACGACCGTGGGTGGCTCACTGACTCCCAGACTGTCTCTAAGGCTCCCTGGCAACCTGGGGTTGCTTATCTGAGGCACAAAACTTGGTAAAAGATGTAGATATTGATGATGTTGGGAGGAGAGAGTGTCCTGAACAAAAGCCACAAACTCAGGTTTCATGGACCCTACCCCCGCCCAGACCAAAGAGAGCTAAGACACCCAGGACTACAAATCCCATGATGCCAAGACACCAAGGACTATAAGTCCCATGATGCCAAGGCACCAAGGACTACAAGCCCCATGATGCCATCACCGCTGCAGGGAGGATGCAGGGTGCTGAGGATGGAGTCAAGCAGCCAGGCTTGGAATCACCAGAAGGGAGCCTGGAGGTGTCCTTGGTTTTCCGCCTGCTCTCAGCGTACTATTGGGCTTCCAGTGCAGCAGAACTGGTAGGACACAGTCACCAATTTATCTCTTTCTTGCCCCCTGAGTCATTCCTTTCTTCAGTTCCCCTTTTTGTAAATAAGCCCTTTTTAGCCGTTGTGTGCCTGCAGCTGGGTCTCATCCTAAGTCATTTTTAAGTTGCGTGTAAGGACCCACAGTCGGGTCAACGCATTTCCTATGGAGGTGCCCTGGGACAATGACAACCAAAGCCTGTTAAGAACCTGGGACCACATAATGTTAATTGTTCACCACGGTTCCACACTCAGTATGTTCTCTATGTTGATTCTTTTAAATTTCTTGTTGTAAGACCATCCAGCAATGTCAGGTGAACAAGATGCATCGCTGACGATGGCCAGTATTGCGCAGAGACTCTCCAGCTTATTCATGTTTTCCCTCCCCAGGTCATTGTTCATGTTGATTTTTCCACCACTTACCAGAGACCCTTTTTCAGGAAAGCAGTGGCAAACAGAGCAATCTCTTCCTCCACAGGGACCAATAAACTCCTTTCCACTCTAGAAAGGAAAAACACCTGATTGAGTATTTAGGGGTTCATCTCTCCACACAGGACATGTACAGTGTAACAAATGCTGAATTTCATTTTACACCTTACACTTCAGTCTGTGAAAGGAAAAGACTCTCACTGATACATTTAAACGGCAAATAACTTCCACTGTGGCTTGGTAGTAAAAGAATTGATGATAGTGGGAACAGAATAATATTAACGGAGCTTGGATTTAAAAACAATTATAAACCAGAGATATCCTATAGGGGAGTAGGAGGGGGGAGGACCCGAAGGAGAGAGTGAGGAAGATGCCCGACTGTGATGATGATGTAGGGGTGAAGTGGGGAAGGGGATGTAAACATTGTTTTCAAATGAACAATGTAGATAGATGTACAAATGAATGAGTTAAAAAGAAAAGCTTCCTTGTATAGCCACTTTGCTTTAATCTGAGTCATCTGCAATGTTCCAGGCTTGCTAAGTCCTCACTAAGTTGTGAACCACTTATTGCAGTCAGGAAAGCTCCGAGCACATAATGAGGTCTAATGAAACTGAAGCTTGGGCTTTGCGCACTCCTTGCTTTTCCTCCGAGATCCGCGAGGGGGCGCGTCTCCCTCCCTGGGTCAGTGTTCAGCACTCAGCTTTGGACTTTGGGCACTTGTATTTGAATCATTGGAGCCGTTTTCTCACTTTTAGCAACTTTTCTTCAAGTTTACTTATGCATAGAATAACTGAACTGAGGTGTAGGCCAGTCCGTGTGTGGGGAGGACAGGGGGGAGTTGTGAGAAGATTCACCAGAGACAGTGGGGAGCAGAACAGGCAGATCTACCGAAATCCACTGCTGAGGGGAGCAGCGGGCGGGTCAGGAGAGGTCTGCTGCACCCTGTGTGTCACTCCCTGACGGGGAACGGAACTCAGGCCATCCCAGCGATAGCACTGAGACTTCACCCCTCGGCCCCCCAGGGAGCCCCGTCTTCAATAATCTGTTAGAGCTACCCAACATCAGGTGATTTCCATACTGTAGTGCTTTCTACAAAGACATAGATGGGCGCCCTCTGGGAAAAACCAGCCCTGGTTCTCACAGATCCTTATTATCTACACCCAGAGCGACCATGCAAGGTATCATACATAGCAGAGTCAGAGTGTCCATTTCTATGACAAAGTGATGCCCTGAAGTGAAAGGAAGGCAGAAGGCAAGTTCAGCCCTGTCTAAACTGCCAAGGGAGGGAGGGGACATAAGAGAGGAAGGAGAAGGGGAGGGGGAGGGGCCAAGGTCGCCTGTTTGTTGGAAGCCAAGGGCTTGGACAAGAATAAAGGGAGGCTCTTGGGGCACCGCCGGCTGATCCGCCTGCTCCGGCTCTCACGATCGTTTGTGCATTAATAAAGGTATAAAGAAGTGCAATAAAGGAAATGTATTCCCACTACTGTAATCATAAGCCTTTTCAAACTAACTTAAGACTTTAACTGAAACCTTCAGAGCAGTGGATAATGGTGAAAAATAGAACAGTTGAACCAACATGCCTGGCTCTATGGAAGACATATATGTCCATATACATACATGTGAAACTAGCGATGGGTATACATGCGCGTGTGATTCGTGTGTACATGTGACTGGGAGGGAAAGGAGTCCAGCCAGTGTGTTTTTGTTTACAGTCACACAGTTTAGACATCTTTTTTTTTTAAAGATTTATTTATTTTTGCATACAGAACTGGGGTGCAGGCCAGAGGTGCAGGGGTGATGAGAGGATTCACCAGAGTGGGGAGTAGAACAGGCGGAATGACGAAGTACACACTGCTGAGGGGAGCAGCGGGCGGGTCAGGAGAGGTCTGCTGAAGACATCTTTTTTTTTTTCATGAAAAAATAGGCTCAGATATAATCCAAAACAAAATAATCCTTTCAACTGAACATTAATGGGAAAAATATCTTTATAAATAAAACTTATATGGAACATTGAAAGCATATAAGCATTTGGGCAAAGCCATTTGATTATTTATGTTTAAAAATGTGTTTGAAATTTCAGAAATATATGTCTGTTGAGCTTTGAGTTTGTTTATAAATACAAAAACATTAAGTTCAAAACCCTGATAAGATTGAAAACAAACCAAAAAAAAACAAAACAAAAACAAAAATAAAACAACACTAAATACCCAAGACCAGGTCACGACAGAGTGAAAGCACTTCAAATAACTAGTTTGAACTCAGGTTCATTTAAGGTTGGGTCATTACTATGTGCTCAGTGAAATATAAAAACAACCAAAGAAAACAGAAGATCAGCTGATTAGATGGCTTGATAATAAAGCACGTTTGTTATTTCACTGTTTTTTTTAAATTAATTGTGCCAAGTGTTACTGAGAATGTTAATTTCAGGATATTTTCCGAAAATTACATTTCAGGGAAGAATCAGTTCAAAATAGATCAGCAGATTCTAATAAAGAAACAAAAATAGTCACACATAAAGCTTTGACTGTACAAAAGAAAAAGTAAGAGGTGGTTTTAGCCTTCACAAAGATCTACATTAGCTATATGAGAATAACATAGCTTTAACAGGACAAGGCATTTATAAATGAAGAAGTGACACCTTAACAGATATCAAAGAAGCCCATTAAAAAATAAACAACGTCTCAGCCAACATTGAAAGTTTAAGCTATATTCATTGAGAAGATATGGACATTCTCAAAAACCACTGTTACTCTTCAAAGAGAAAAATGGAAGACTCTACATTTTGTCTCAGATATTTTTTAAACAACTGTTCATAAAAGGTTCGAGATAATAAAATACTAGTTAGTCGATTAAGAATCTGTTCTACATTTTGCTGCACCTGAGTTGGATCCCTGGCCAGAAGCTGACCTTCAGGGTACATCAGACCTCTCCTGTCCCACCCACTGCTCCCCTCAGCAGTGTATTTCAGTAGATCCACCTGTCCTGCTCCCCACTCTGTGTCTGGTAACTTCTTTCAGTCCCTGCACCTCTGGCCTATACCCCAGTTCTTGTATGCATAAACAAATAAATGATATAAAACCAGATTTCTATTTTAAACAAAAATAATCTGTACTTCTGCTTTCTTCTTTGAAGAAATCACATACACGCATGATAATAAAATTTCAAATAGTGTAATAATCAGAATATACATAATTCTTCCCAAGAGAGACAATTATTCTCCTCAAACAGATATTAGGCGTATGTGAGAATATGCAGTATGAGATCACACAAAGACACGTCCTTAGGTTTTTGGAGATTTGAACCTTATTGTGTGTGTGTGTGTGTGTGTGTGTGTATTATCCCAATGGCATATTGCTCTGTACCTGGCCATAATTATGTATTCATAATCATTCCAAATCAATGATGTGAGTATCCACCACAGCACTAAAACCTGTTTAAATCAGTCCTTATAGATGGACATTTAACTGTCTCCCTTTTATACTCCTGAATACACCCTGTAATTATTGGTAATATTATTCTGCATTTTTCTTTATTCATAAGTCAGAATAAGTAGTATGATAAATTCCAAAGGAAATTCCCATGTCAATTGTTATGTGAGTTCAAAATCCTGGTGGATTATAATTGTCTTTGTACTATAATAACAATACAATTTATTTCCTATGTCTTACTCAGTCTCTTATATTCCTCCTATAAATGAAACCATCTGATATTTTCTTTTTCCTTCTGACTTATTTCACTAGCATGATCCCTTCCAGCTCCATCCATGTTGCTGCAAATGGCCTGAGCTTATCTTTTTGATTGCCGAGTAGTATTCCGTTGTGTATAAATTAATAAAAAATAAGAAGGAAAATAAAATAAAATCCTGGTGGATAACACCAAATTGCCTTTCACAGGTTTTGCATCAATTTACAGGCCTATTTTTAAAAACACAGCTAAAGTATAGCTACTCTGAAGTTGTTCAACTCTCTCATTACCAGGAACCTATGAGAACATTCTTTGGCCGAGGACTTTTAGTCCTATGGCATCATTCTTGTGTTCACTTGTAAGCAACAAAGACATGAAATTTGGGACTCTGTAGGCTTTTATCATAGAAAAAAAAGAATATAATACTAAAGTAAATTTAGAAATGTATACATATATATGTATATGTATATATCAGTGTATTTTCATTCACTATTTCAGATTATGCTGTCAAATGTACGTGAACTAAATCGGGAAGTCTTACAATCCCTACTTCATGCAGAAGACCCAGTCTTGGGTAGGCTAAGGGAAGAATTGCTAGCAGAACTGAGGACAAGGGCTCTTCATTCCTTGACTCCTGTGCATCCTACTCCTAAGTAGTAGAGAAAGGAGACTGAGGTCAACTTTCCATTTTTACTTGCTTTGGAAGGACCTATGATAACTTGAACCGCAGGGATTAGATTGGGTGGATTCAAGCTCAAGAAGATGGATGGAGACATGTTCACTGGAGGGACTTTATCCTTGTCTCAAGGGCAACCTGACTGATAGGTGTGATTTCCCAGAAGTGTCTGGGTTTGGAAACAGAATCTTTTATGAGGAAGCAGAAGAAGGAAGACAATACAGGATGTTCTACGTTTATCTTTCTCCAGAGTTAAAATTGAATCTTATACTAGTGAACTTAATCTTGAAATGGCTCAGCTGTTTCCTGGCCCCTCCAACTTTTTTTTAAAGATGCATTTATTTATGCATACATAACTGGGGTACAAACCAGAGGTGCAGGGGTGGTGAGAGGCTTCACCAGAGACAGAGTGGGGAGCAGAGCAGGCCGACTGATGAAGCACACTGCTGAGGGGAGCAGCGGGCAGGTCAGGAGAAGTCTGACCTGTGGGTCATCTCCCGGGTGGAGGATCGAACTTGCACTGAAGCAGCTGTGCCAACTTGCAGTGCTGTGTTCTAACCCGTTGTGCCACCAGGGAGGGCCTCCTCCAACTATTTTTAAAGAAAGCATTATGTTAGTTATAAAATAAATAAATATACCTGAGCAATTGGCAAGTAATCTTGACTGCCGAACGTAAAAGAAACTTTAGAATGTTCATCTAGTCTGATGCTTAACTTTATAGATGAGAAAACCAAGTTTAACAATAGAAAACCAGTTGTTAAAAGTATAATAAAGGTAATGTATTTAATAAAGTCAATTTTCAACATGCAATCAGAGCTAATTAAAGCACTTACCCCACATACATGTTGTATAGAGAAGAGAATAACTATAAGTGACCTATGAAAAAGCAAACATGCAAATTACTTTAAATGCACATTTTCATATAAAGCAATCTAATAACAGAAAGAACAAGGGAATTAATTCTAGAAAGTTCTTTTCATTTGTAATGGGCTGCTGTCAACAGCTGACTGCCACAGTGACGAGGAAAATGCCATGTGCTCCTTGGCTGTCATCCAAGGCAGCGATCCCCCGGCGTGACACGAGCACACACACAGGCTGCCCGGGGCTGGATGGGGACCCCATGGGGCGGCTCTCCTGAAGCCGGTCACCCTCACCGCTGGATTTAGGGGAACCAAGGCACTGGCCATAGAGTTAGACCTTTGCTATTGAAAACCAGTAAGACAACAAGAGGCAGGAGCCTTTGGATATACAATGTCCCATTTGCTGATTATGTGGGTCAATTTAAGGAAAGGAAAGAGGATAGGAATTTAAAAATAAAAATAAGTCATGATAGGGCAGGCACAATCCACTGATTTCAGGAATAATGTGGCTTTTTGACACATGAAGCATTCAGATAACGTTCGGCGGTAGAAGTAGCTTAGGGAAGCCGGCGAGCACCCCAAGGCACTTACCAGGGAGTCAGAGCAGGGGGCGCAAGCCAGAGTTTTGCCAGGGTCATTTTTGCAGCGATCCCCTAGGATCTTGACCCTGCAAAGTCAGTCATTCTTCTCTTCTCCAGAAGAGTCTCGTTTATAATCTGTGTAAGTTAAATAGAAACACATCTCTTAAAACACTAAGCATTACAGGGTATAAAATTATTACTATCTTTATTCCTAATTAGGATGAAAATATTTCCTAAATGGGGAATTCAGTTTTTGTTTGACATAGTCTTTCTTTAGTGATGGCTAAGTGTAATTAACAAATATCACTTAAAAATAAAATAAAACATCCTTAAACATAAAAATGTTACCTAATTCTTTGCATGTCATACATACATTTTGAAAAAATGGAAAGATAGATGTGTGCAATGCTTGGCTAAAATTCTGGCATACATCTCAGTTCTTGCAAAACCAAACAAACCAACTACTGTTTCATGATACTGAGTGGAATATTCTTGTATTTAATCATGTCCCTTGAAATCCAGTTCAAAATTCACTAATTTTTTTTATATTATTATTCTTTGAAACTAGGGCAGGAACACTCTAGGATAGAATACACATTTTGTATATACAACAAATGCATGTAAATGTCTTTGAATAAAATAGTATAACTACGGGCCCTCCCTGGTGGCACAGCAGGTTTAAAGCACAGCACTAAGAAGCTAAAGCCACTTCCACATGAGTTTGATCCCCGCCTGGAGGTGACCACATGATGCGGCAGGTCCTGACCTGCCCGCTGCTCCCCTCAGCAGTGTGCTTCGTCGATCTGCCTGTTCTGCTCCCCACTCTGTCTCTGATGAAGCCTCTCACTGCCCCTGTACCCCAATTCTGCATACATAAATAAATAAATTTTTAAAAAAAATAGTATAACTGCTATGCAAAGCATTTTGGCAGTTCTTTAAAAAGTTGAGAGAATTTCCATATGACCCAGCAATTCTATTCCTAAAGACTTGATAATATGCTTACACCTATACCTGCTTGTGGATGTTTCTAGCACCCGTATCCATAATAGTCAAAAAGTAGAAATAACCCAATTCTACCAATTGAACGATAAGCTCCCTGTGTTCCCCCCACGCAATGGAGGGCCCTTCCACCATAAAGAGGAATGAAGTGCTGATATGATCTACATTGTGGGGGAACCTCAAAAATATGCCACATGAAAGAAATCCCCTATGGTATGATTTCATCCATGTACATGAAATGTCCAGAATAGACCAATCCACAAAGACAGATAATAGTAATTGTTAAGGGTTGGAGGGAGGGAGCATTGGCAGGTAGTGAGTTTCATATAAGGGTGATGGAAATGTTTTGAAGTTAGTTAATGGTGGTGGCTGAACCACATTGTAAGAGTACTAAAAACCACTCTAAAAGAGTTAAATGGTGAATTTTATTTTGTGAATTTAATGTCAATAAAAACAGAAATATATTTGACATAAAAACTCTACACTTGGGTAAAAGATGTCTTTGGTTTTAAGAATTGAAATATCTTCAATTTTTTTTTTGGCTTTGCTGAATATTTATACCTATGAGAATCAGGTAGAAAAAAGGTAACTGGAACTGTTGACTGATACAAGCTATTTTTACATTTCTGGATAAAATCTAGATAAACTAACTCAATGCTCTATTTATGGGAGATTAGTTTTCCAAACAAGTGGTATAGCAACACTCCATGATACAGTTTCAAAATCAAATAGGGGAAGAATCACCTTGAGTGCCTAGATATTTTCCTATCCTTAAATCTATCATTTCAAGTACTTATTAATTTGCATTCTAGAGGTAAGTGCCAATAAAAAAATTATTATTTTGAGAGGAATATACAAATTGACTTGAATCATTGAAAATGTATTTGATGTTTAAAACCTAGGAAATTGTCCAAATTAACAAAAATCTGAGATACTTGCATTTTAACTCAAGACACATGATGATCTCCTCTCCACACATATTGTCATAAAAGATAGACAAAGAGGGTTTATTAAAATAGAGTGTGGTCATGTTTTAAAGGAATACTATCTGGTCATGGTCCTAACATCTAGAGGATTCTCAATAGATTTTAATTGGGATTGGATGGATGGATGATGGATGGGTGGGTGGGTGGATGGATGGATGGATGGATGGATGGATGGATGGATGGATGGATGGATGGATGGATGGATGAGAGATGGATGGGTACATGGATGGATGCATGGACGGATGGATGGGTGGGTGGACCCTTCTGCAGAAAGCTAGCTGTTTTCTCATTAATTTCTGGGATGGCCAATGTAGATTACTCACTTGTAGGGAAAGGACACAGCTCTAGTGGAAATAGACTGGGCATATTCATCACCTTGCACTTGTTACATCAGATCTAGCAGGATGTGTTTTCTTTTTACTCATGGATTTGTCCCCAATTATATGCAGTTTATAATTGCTCAATATATACTTGTTGGATTAATGAACTTTTGAGACCTTTATAATGTGAATAAAACATACTTAGTATGGGACATAATATGAGGCTAATTTTAAATATAAATGAGGGAGTGGAGGAATGGAAGTGGAGGATGGAAAGAGGACACAAAGCATCCTGGGGGAAGAAATGAGAAGTGATACTCATTATTTGTAGGGCCTTCTGCTGAGACTGTTACCCATCTCAAGTAACTTAGTTTTCACCTCAGTTTAAGAAGGAAAATATTATTTCCACTGGATAAGAACAACAAACTGACCCTCTGAGTGATCTGTATAAAGTTGCAAAGCTAATAAATGGCAGAACTGGGGTTGTTTTTACTCTAATATATGTCATTAATTTAGGGAAGATGACTATAAACTTCAGCAAAAGCCCTGTTCCTTTCAAGGACATGATTTTTTTGCTGATTGCTGTTCTCAGAGGGAGTGTTCTCTACAGAGTGCTCCATTAGGGTCCACGAGGGTCCCACCTTCAGTCCAGTTAGTGAAGGTGGACCATGTTTTCATCATCTGATCCCATCTCCCCAGGTTGGGGATAACAACCTGATTCAAAGGTGAGGCAAGAGTCAGGATTCTGGCTTGTGGGGTGGTCCTCTTAGAGAGGTGGTGTTAGGAACCAGGGCAGAAAGGGGGCTGAGGAAGGAAGCATCAAGCCAGAGGTTACAAGAGGCCATTGGACATTAAAGGCTGAGAAAACAAAGATCAAGTGCAAGCTTGAATTTAGACAGAACATTCATTTGCTAACTACAAAGGGCTGATTTTTAAGAGAAGAAAATGCCAAGAGAGAAAGACACATAGCCTCATAAGAAGCTGAAAATCTAGCCTGCCCCCCAGAACACCTCATGATGCAGCCTAATAGTCAGTTCCCTTTCCTGGAGCAAACCCACCGATGTGCCCCGGCTGACAGAAAGCACAGGCCCCACGTGCTGCTACAACAGGAGTTCCCTCGGCGGCCCCACCCCGAGAGGGAAACTGAACCCCAAGAGGGAGCTGAACCTTAGCACCATGGGCCTTTGACTTTCCCTTTGCACAACCCAAGTAAAGTGGACAGGTTCCTTACCAGTGTGTGTCAGCTCAGGAATTTTGTGCAGTATGTTCAGCACCTATAATTTCATTCTCTTCCTTGGCTCCTTTATGGACATTTTTGGGTGCCATTTGCCCTAGGACTTCCTATGGGGTCGCTGCCCAATATTTTCCAAATACCAGGTCTAGAAACAAGATCTAAGGCCTTCCAAACCATTGTGCCAGAGAAACAAAAAGCAAGGTATCAGAATCTTCTAGCCACAAAAATGTAGCAGAACTAGAATCTTTTCCTTTCCCAAGTAATACTGTCTTTGAGTTCTTTTTAATAATAATTGTTTTGTTCTCTCACTGAAATGATTTCCCATTCACTCCATGACCACATGTGCATTTCTTTTTGACTTTCCGACACTGACCTATCTGAGGACTCTCCAAGAATGCACTTCTTTAATGGTTTGGACACCTATTTGTCTGTACCTGTCTCTTTTCAAAATGGAATTCTTACAGGCTCATCTTTGGGAAATAAATGAACAAGGCCTCAAAGGTCAGGAAAACGCTCATAGGAAACTAATGATGTACTGGGGCCACCTCACTATCTGCCTTCTCTTTCCAAGCTTGGGTTTCCTTATAAAGAGATAACCTGCCCTCCCCCCACATACAAGATAGACACTCGCCCGTGCTCTTTCTGAGAACTCCGATCTTTGAGTTGACATGATCTGCACCCTTTCAAAGCCTTTGAGTTGGTATGAGTTTTTTAGCAAAAAGAGTCACTTTCATCCAACATCACAAGGTTGTTTGAAGCAGGTCATGACCATCTGTGTGGTCCACTAGCCATTGTGGCTAGAGCTTCATGTTCTCTGAGGAACAAAAGGATAAACTTGAAAATTATTCAAGTGAATTCTTAGTAATGAATCTGAGATGAATGTGTTGGGTTATGGCCAAGTCCGCCCCACCTCTCCTCCCCTCCAGGCTCAGCTGAATTGTTTGGGTGCCGCAGAGTCCTCAGCTGACCTTGGAGTTGAGTTTGTTCATCCGGGGCCAACTGACCCTACTTCAGCTAATCAGCCTCCTCCCCACATAGGCTTTGTTATCATTTTCCTCTTGAGGTCTTTCCCCAATATCAACAAAAAATGTGACAACAATTAGACAAATGTCCCCACTTGAGAACCACACGGATGTGATACATGTTCCAAAAATATACAAGTGATTTTGAAAACCGGATGAGGCCTTTATACCTCCAAGTTAAGAAGAACATTCTTGACTCAGAATGCTGTGTCTTTGGCCAGAAACTTTAATCCCCTGGTTTCTTATGGTCTATGGTTCTCCTTCCAGGAAGGGCTAGAGTGATTGAGTCAGAAGTCCCTGGACCTATCAGGTCTCTGGGAAATGCCCTTGACATTCTCTCTAGTAAGAACATCCCATGACCCCAAGGGCAGGGTCCACCACCTTTGACCGTCCTCCACAGAGACCTGCAGCCGCCATCACCCATGTTCTGTGCTCTCATGGTCAGGATGGAAGCAGGGCTCTGGGATTAGAAGACTTGTGCTCTGATATTGATCTCTTAGAGTAGTGTCCTTAACCCCTCTGACTCCTTGATTCCTCAGCATATAAAATTCATATTGAGAGAATGACATGAGTA